GAAAACATCTTTCCTTTCAGACATCTTTCCTTCCTTCATTCATTATCTAGCTTTGAATGTCACTTACAGCCAACTCAATCTCTCTTTTCCACTCAGCACATTTCTAACATTGATTCCTCTTTTCCACCTTTGGACTTCGCTTCTACTGGAAATTCTCCTTCATTTCATAGTACACCTGATCATCTTACTGATATATCTCTAATTTCTGATTCTTCTCCTTCCCCTGATACATCTCCTCCTATTGTTTCACACTCTCCCACCCCATTACCTATTCGAAAATCAACCAGAACTCCTAAATTTCCTTCTTATCTCCATGATTATCAATGTCATCTGGCCTCTCAAGTTCCCTCTCCTCAGTCAGATTCTATGGATAAAGGTTCTGCATCAGGTAAGAATTATCCTTTGTCTGATCATTTGAATTATGATAACCTCTCTCCTGTTCATAGGCAATATTTCTTGGCTCCGTCTACTATTTTTTAGCCTCAGTCCTATGGTGAAGCTTCTAAGTTCCCTGAATGGTGTCAAGCCATGGATTTGGAATATCAGGCTCTAGTTTCGAATACTTGGGATGTGGTTCAACTCCCAGCTAATAAGAAACCTCTAGCATGTAAATGGGTTTTCAAGGTTAAACTGAAATTAGATGGGCCTGAAGAAAGGAAGAAGGCTCGTTTAGTTGCCAAAGGTTTCACACAGCAAGCAGGCCTTGATTATGAGGAGACTTTCTCTCCAGTTGCTAAAATGGTTACAGTCAAGACCTTGTTAGCTGTTGCCGCTCAGTTAAAGTGGCACTTACATCAGTTGGATATTAGCAATGCCTTTCTTCATGGTGATTTGGAGGAAGAAGTGTACATGTTGTTACCTCCTGGGTATGAGCAGCAAGGGGAGAGTGAGAAACAACTGGTTTGCAAACTAAATAAGTCTATCTATGGGCTTAAACAAGTATCAAGACAATGGAATGCCAAACTCACTTCATACATTCTGTCACAGGGTTTGTGCAATCAAAGGCTGATTATTCCTTGTTTTGCAAACAAACTGGCTGCTCATTTACAGTGTTACTGGTATATGTGGATGATATCATCATTGGTGGCAATGATTTGATGTACATTGATCAGTTTAAGAATGAACTAAATGATCAGTTTAAGTTGAGAGATCTGGGAATTCTTAAATACTTTCTTGGCTTG